ACAAACCCCAAACGCTGGTGGATATTCCAATACTTAGATTTACCAACCAGCCCAAAACAGCTCCTGTAGCACCTCCCTGGTTACTCGGAGTCCAACCAACGCAGTTCCCTTAAAGTGCCCAGCCTCAGGCCTCCGTCCAGACACACCCGTCAGATATGATGATGATTACTGAAAATCTGATCTCATCATAGAAAAGAAAAGGTTCTTCCAATCCCAAAGGATCAGCCACATACCCAGGTTCAATTACAACTTAGATCTTACCCAAAATACACTCTATAGTCCATTCTTATTAACTAAACTAAAATTTATTAAAAAAGAAAAGAGAGTGTTGGTTAAAAGATCAATATACACACAGACTTGAATTCAATTCTTGAGGTTCAGATGCGTAGCAGAGATGAGCTTGTAGTTGCCAAAAGTCCTTTTAGAAATAGTCCATAGGTTATAGTCCAATGTCCATATTCAGGGTGGCTCCAGTCAGTGACTGGGGATCTCAATCCTTGTGGTTTAAGGTTTCCCCCTCTTGAAACCCAAAGCTGATCTGAGATGAAGTAGGATCGTGTCCCTTTCAGCCTGAGAAAACAATAGGCTTAACTCTCCTTCCAAACATCCTGGCAATTAGCACAGGGTAATTTATCCATTAAACAGTTCAGATACAGGGTACCACAACCTTCAAAGAGACAGAGACAATAATACTATTTCACTCAAGTATCATCATAAATGTTAATATTCCTTTTTTGCTCTTTGAATTAAAGTTATAGCAATAGACAAGACTTGTTTGCTTACATCACAAGCCCTGAGCAAACCTCTACTCTTGAGATCTCTAACAATGCAGACTTGCATTTCAAAGCTCTGTTCATTTACAGATCTTCCTAACCAGTCCTTTAGGCTCACCCATGGGTCAGGTCAGTCTGAGTTAATTAACTCTTTCTGGCCCTGTCACCTTCCAATGAAATATTATATCACACTCATAACGTCACAGGCCCGTTCTGGGTCTGTCTCCACTGCAGCATGAGCTCAGGTTGGCAGATCCTGGCCTTGAGCGTCTGTAAGCCCCGGTGTGGAGCTCTTACACCCTGGCCCCGCCTGAGGCTTCAGCATCTACACTGCATTATGCGGGCCTGAGTCCAACCGCCCACATCCCAGAGTTCATGCACCCTCCCAAAACGTGGCCACTCTATCCCTCTGTTCCTGGTGCAATGTGGGGAGACTTGACTGGCCACTCAAGCTGCCTGTCCAGAAGACAAAGAAAGTCAGGGCTTGGGATCGTGTCTACTTTTGTCAGACTGCCAGAGCACGAGTCTAGTGGGGCTGCCGCATCTACATTGGGCTTGAACCCTGGCTCCAAGCTTGACTGAGGCGCAGGTCCTCCACCCCCCGTGGGGTCCGGGGACCCTGGGTCCAAACCCTGGGTTAGCGTGATTTGTGTGTAGGCAGAAGGGGCTCACACTGCAGTGTAGACACACCCTCGGTTCCTGGGTGCCCGTCGCCTGCACTTGGGGGTTGGGGCACTGCCCTAAGGTGGCAGCCGAGGTCCATGTGACTAGGGCTGTCAGGAGATGGTGCTGCTGTCCTCAGGACGGGTCAGGGTCAGAGGCAACTAAACTGGCGACTGCCTCTGCGGGCGATGCTGAGGTTGACCCACCAGCCCTTGTCTCTTGCAGATGATCGAAGTAGACGGCATTGGCCTGAATGCTGTCTTCATCCTCATCATGTCGCGCATGTCGCAGGCCTCGGGCTCCATCCTGCCGCCGCTGAGCTCGCTGGTGGGGCCCAAGAAGGTGTCTCCCACCGATGGGCAGAGGGAGCGAGAGGAGTCAGCGGACTCAGGTGAGGACAGAAACTCGGTGGGGCTGGGCAGCATCGCGCCGTGACCGGTTCGGGCAGGAGGAGAGCTGGACACCAGAGCCTCCCATTGAAGGCAGAGACCATGAGCCCCAATTGAGGGCTGTGACGGCAACTCCCTGGCTGCCTGTGGTGCCACGGGCCGCTCGCTGCGGTGCCACGGGCCGCTCGCTGCGGTGCCACGGGCCGCTCGCTGCGGTGCCAGGGCCGCTCGCTGCGGTGCCAGGGCCGCTCGCTGCGGTGCCAGGGCATGCTTGGCTGCTGCCAGCTCAGGTAGCCACCTGGGGCTGGGGGGGCTGCTCTTTTTAGTCTCTTGATCCTTTAATTGCATTTGTGCCTCCTTCCTGCAGCTCCTTTTGTTCAGTCTGGGCCATTTAATCCCTGGGAATTACCGGCAGGGGAAGGGCAGCTGAGGTCCCAGCAGCTGCAGAGGTGGCGCAGCAGAGACAGTGATGGGGGAGGGTAAGAAGCAGGGCAGGTTGAGGAAGTGCAGGGGGCTGGCAGCAGGGAAGAGTGAGAAGGAGCTGAAGATGGCAGGGGGTGACCTGCAGGCTTGTGTCACAGCCCTGACAGCAACGGGCAGCAGGGGAGACAGAGCTACGCTGGAGCTGCCCCCTTGTCCCTCTGCAGCACTGGCACTGTAACCCTGCTCTGTTCAATAGTGCTGCCTCCAGCAGCCAGGCGAGTGAGGGGTCTAGCTCCTTTCCCCAGGGCAGGGCTGGCGGGGGGTCCCCAAAGAAGCGTGTGGGAGTGGCGGGTTGAGGATGGGGTAATTATGGGTGGTCCAGGGGCTATAAAGCAGGTCCCCTGTGGTTCCCCAGGCCACTGGAGCTGGGGGTGTCCTAGGGAGTGTTGGAGGCACAGCTGCAGGGGCATGACGGGCCGTGGGGGGGCATATCTCTGCTCCCCTACGTATTGTGCCCTCTCCGTTCAGCCCCAGTCTGGCTCTGCTTTCGCTGCTGGGGGAGGTTACCGGGGGTGCCTGGGGCTGCAGCCGCCTCCTCCCTGAGACTCCGTGTCTTGCAGGCTGCAGCTCCCTGAGCGGCTTTGCCAAGTCCCTGCAGAAGGCAGAGGCCCTGCTGTGGAACTGCGTGAACCCCAGTGTGCGGCGCCTCCTGCAGCAGCATGCCAGCGCCAGTGCCTACGACAGCGACGAGGAGGACTCGCCCGGCGCCCTCGCCCGCCTGGCCCAGGTGGAGCACAGCTTCCTGGGGCTCAGCCGCTGCCTCTGCGTGCAGGAGAACCCCCGCACGGAGACCTTCCGAGGCCACGTCAAGCCGGCGGCCAGTGACACGGCCCAGGGCGCCTTCTCCTACCACCCCATCTACCCCCGCGTGGCCAAGCACTGTGCCACCTTGCACGCCCTGCTGCAGCACCGCCACCGCCTCCGCCTCTCCCACGAGTACAGCCGCCGCCTCAAAGGGGCCTCGGACTTCGTCCGCCACCTCCTGGCTCTCTTGGCGCTGAAGGACCCGGGCGGAGACCCTGGGGGGAGCAGGCAGCTCAGGGGACTCTGTGAGGAGCTGCGGACTCACACCAGCCACTGGAGCGGGCTGCAGCGCAAGATGCGCAGCGACCCCTGGCTGCGGGTGCTGCTGCTGCAGCATCACGAGTCGGTGACGCACATGAAGCGGGCGCTGGGCCTGCTGGCCCTGCATGCCATCCGCCTGGTGGAGCGCTACGTGGAGGTGCTGCTGCACTGCCTGGCACGGGCCAGCCCCGCCGCCGTCTCCCCTGCCCAGCTCTCCGACCTGTTCCAGGGCCTGGAGATCTACAACCACGTGCTGAGCGACCAGGCCCTGGAGCGGGCCTCCAGCGAGCCGGGGGCTGATCCCGCCACCCCACTCCGGCGCAAAGGGGAGGTGGGGGGTGGTGCTCAGGCCTATCCCATTGGGCGGGTGCTGGGCGTGCTGGCAGCCGAGAGAGGCAGGCTGGCCGCCCACAGACTCCAGCAGCTCCTCCTGCAGCAGGCACAGCGGACACAGCGGGACTGCCTGGATCAGGTGTACTGGGAGAATGCTGTGGTGCCTTGGTCCATGGACCGCAGCAGCATTAGCGAGACAGATGTGGGGTCCCCTGGGCCCCCCACAGTGGAGGAGCTGCCGAGCCTCCCCGCGGAGCTGCAGGTGCTGTGCAGGGAGGACAAGGAGCTCCTGGACCTTGTTCTGGGAGTCCTGGTGGCCTCCACCGACACGCTCTGGCACCATGTGCTCAAGAGGCCCAAGCAGGAGAAGCCCCCGGCAGAGGAGGGCCAGGAGCCCCCGCTGGTGCCGGCAGCCAGCCCGGGCCTGGACGAGAGGCTGAGCTTGGCCTCCCTGCCCAGCTGGAAGTCCGTGCGCTGGCTGGACGCGTCCTACTCGGAGGCTGCCGAGGTTCTGTATGCGCAGTACCGCCCGCTCTTCTGGGAGGCCGCGGCCACCTCACTGGCTCATCGCCTGGAGCTGCGGCAGGACCAGGCACAGCCCTGCGGAGGCCTGCCCCAGTGCTCAGAAAGAGCAACAGCCACGCTGGCGCGGGAGCTGAGCCAGGCGCTGAGTCAGGGTGAGTGCAGGGGGGCGGGGACTGGGACATGGGGCCTGTCCCCTCTAGGGGGCGCCGGCTCCGATCCGGTCTCAGGGTGGGGGCCTGGTTGGTTATGAGGGGTGGGAATGGGGCACAGGGTCTTTCCCCTCCAGGGGGTGCTGGCTCTGATCCGGCCCTGGGGCAGGGACTGGCTGGATCGGGGGGCAGGTAATAGGACATGGGGTCTTTCCTCTCCAGGGGGTGCTGACTCTGATCCGGACCCAGGGCGGGGACTGGCTGGCTGGTGGGGGGTGAGGGTTTGGGACATAGTGCATCTCCCCTCTGGGGGCGCTGGCTCCCATCTGGCCCTGGGGCAGGGACTGGCTAGCTGGGGGATGGGGAATAGGACACATGGCCTGTCCCCTCTAGGGGGTGCCATCTCCGATCTGGCCTCAGGGTGGGGACTTGGTTGGTTATGGGGGGTGGGAATGGGGCACAGGGTCTTTCCAGGGGGTGCTGGCTCTGATCCGGACCCAGGGTGGGGACTGGCTGGCTTGGGGGGCAGGGTTTGGGACATGGTGCGTCTCCGCTCTGAGGGCGCTGGCTCCCATCCAGGTTAAGGTTTTGGTGCCCAGATATCCTTCCCATCAGCGCTGCGGCGTGGCCCCTGGTGCAGGAGTTGGGGTCTCAGGCCAGGGGTCTGCCCTGGCCTGGCAGCATCTAGCTCCCTGGTTGGCCCCAGCAGCAGGGAGCCAAAGGCTGCCTGGCCTGATCCCCTCCTCCTCCCCCGGGGCTGTGCCCAGGGGCAGGGCCTGTCCTGGTGCTCACCCCTGTGTTCGCTTGCAGCCCGCGTGCCCCTGGAGTGCGAGGCGGCGCTGCGGCGCCTGTGCCTGTGTCTGATCTCTCAGGCTGTCTTCCAGAGCTGGGACCGAGGTAAGGCCCAGGGGCTGCTGGCCTGGAGGCCCTGAGGCCGGCAGGAGTGCTTTGGGGAGGCCTGGCTGCTGGCACTGGTACCTGAGGGGCTCTGGGAACAGGGGGCCCTGCATGGGGTATTTTGGGGGCACGCTGGGAGTGGGGAGGCTCTCGGTGACCTCGGGGGGACAGGGGCAGAGTGTTTCAGGGCCCCAGTGTCCTCCCCGTTGGCCAGGTGGCGGCAGCATCTCCCTTCCCTCTCCGCAGGGTTCTGCCAGGCCCTGGGCTCCAGCCTCAGCGATAAGTGCGTGCCTGGGCCCAGGACAGCGGGCAGGGCGCACAGCAGGACTGCCCAGCTGCTCCGGGAGCTCCACCCTCCCCTGGCCTTCGCCCTGAAATGCCTGGAGCCTCGGCTCGCTGCAAGGACTGGTGAGTGAGGCCCTGCCCGGACGCCAGGGGTCTCTCGGCTGCAGGGCTGGAGACTCAGGGCAGCGGAGGAGGGTTCTGTATCAGCCAGAGGGGTCGCTCACTGTGGGGGGCGGTTCCTCATGGGGACATGTGCCCCAGTGCTCTGCAGATTCTAGGGCCCTGGCACTGCCTGTCCCCCCCCCCCCCCGGCCCCCCCCGGCGCCGCCCGGCCCCCCCCCCCTGCCCCTAAGGCCGCCCCTGGCACTTCCTGGCCCCCGAATCCCCACACCATCCCCCTCTCACCCCCAGGCCACCCCTGGCACTGCCCGGCCCCACCACCCCAGCGCCAGCCCTCCCTCCCCCACTTCCGGGGCCACCCCTGGCAGTGCCTCCCGCCCCGAGTCCTCTCCCCTGCGCCAGCTCACTCTGTTCCCTCCCTGCAGCGGGCGGCGACCTCGTCTGGCCGAGTCTCCGGCTGGAGCTGCTGAGTCGCTGCCTGGCCACGGGGCAGGCCTCCTGCTCCTGGCTCATGGCCAAGGCCTATCAGCACCTTGCGGTCTGGTCCCTCTGCCCGTTCCTGCTCGTCACCCAGGGAGATCTCCAGGCAAGTACGGCTCCCGGGACGCTTCCTCGGGCTGGGACCCGCAGCCAGGGAGATGCTGGCTGGGCCTGGGGCCTCTCCTCCCACAGCCACAGGGACCCGACCCCCAGCACCAGCTGCTCCCAAACCAGAGTCCCTCCCTGTAGTGTGCCCGGGCGCAGCGGGGGTGGGGCTGGGATCCCAGGCCTGGGGAGGGCTGCAGCTGGTCCCCAGCCAGGCTCTCTTTGGCCATGGCTGGGCTCAGGGCCTCACGTCTTCCTCTCCTCTGCAGCTGTTAAAGGCAGAGACCACCAGGTTGGCAGAGCTCGTGAGTGGGGCCTTCCCTGAGGGGGGGGACAGCCCCAGGTGGGTGCGGCCGGCCCTCGGCTCCCACCAGGAGCGGCAGCTGTGCCTACAGATCCACTCCACTGCCACCAGCATCCAGGTAAGGGACCTGCCCTGCCTCACGGTGGCTGCACAGGGTTCGGGTCTCGGGGCTTCAGGGGAGGGTCCCTGCCTTGGGCCAGCTCCTTCCTCGCTGAGCCGCAGCCCTTCCGGGAGCAGGGGCCAGGCCTGGCCGCACTCCTCTGGCGAGCCCCGGGGAGCTGGGGCCGGGGAGCTGGGCACGGGCTGGAAACCCCTGCATGGAGGGTTGGAACAGCTTCCTGTCCCCCGCCCTGTTCTGCTGCAGGGCAGGGCTGCCGGGGTGGGGCCAGCGGGGACCTGGCGAGGGGGACTGGCTCTGATCCAGGTGGGCAGGTCATAGGGGGAACAGCTGGGGGCAGCTCTAGTCAGATGGGTGGTGTGGAGTGTGCAGTGCTGGCTCTGAGCTGGGTAGGCTGAGGGCGGGGCGGCCCCACGGTGGCGGCGCTGGACGGAGGCTGGCTCTGCTCCATCTCCTGGCACACGTGCCCGGGACCCTGCTACGTCCTGGCAGGGCGCGCTGTCGTCCTTGCTGGAGTAAGCTGACAGGTGCCCGAGGGTGGGGGTGCCAAGCCGGGCTCTCCCGGGGGTGCTGGCCCAGCTCCCCCTCTGTTCCCCAGAGCTTCTCGCAGGACGTGCTGCGGATGTTCTCCAGCGACTGCAAACGGATGTCGGCAGAGATCTTCAGCCAGACCATGCCGCTGGGCAAGCATTGGAGAGCAGGCCTCCGTGCAGGTACGTCCCCCCGTGTCCTCTGTGCCCAGCCCCTGCCCGCCGACAGACCCGGTGGGCAGAGCAGCTCAGAGCTGGCATGTCAGGCTGAGAGCAGCTTCCTTCTTGCCCAGGCCTGTCCCGGACCCTGCCCTGCCAAGGCAGTCCGGAGCACCAGCTCTGGGCCCAGGCCCTGCTAGCAGGCCGCTGACCCGGCTGTCCCCTGTGGCACTCCCAGGGCCCCTGGCATGCTGGGCTGGCTGCAGCTTGAGTCTCTGGGGCAGCACCATGCCCACAGGGCCCAGGCCAGCTCTGGTCCCAGCGAGAACGGGAGGTACCTGCTGCTGGGGGCGCAGGGTGAGCACTGCCCTCCCTCCAGTGGTCGAACGACTCGGCAGCCAGCGCCCCCTGGGGCCGGGCGTGGCATAGCAGGCTCTTTGGGGCCATGGTGAGTCACTGTAAGTCTTGCCCTTCAGGGGTGGAGTGTCCCACAAACGGGTCCATCGGCCTCACACCGAGTCCTTCCTCCCTGCTCCCCGGGGTTTGCCCACCTCCCTGCCCAGGCCCCGCTCTCCTCTGGGCTCCAGCCGGGGACCCGGCCGTGAACAAGCAGGGTCTGCCTAGTCAGACTCACTCCCTGCTCCGCCTGTCAGCGGGCCCTTCCCACAGCTCCGGATCCGCTCCAGGCTCCCCCAGGTGCTGCCCTCGCTGCCCAGCTCCGTCCCTCGTGTGGCCCTTCCAGCGCTCGCCGGGGAGATCTGGGCCCTGCCCCCTGCTGCCAGCTCTCCCTGGGCCCCTCCTGCTTCCTGTCTGCAGCTGCCCAGCTGCCCATCTGCACTGGGCCTACCACACTCTAAAGCGCTCCCCGTAACCCTTGCAGTGCCAGTGTGGGGCATACACCCCTCCAGCCATGCAGGGGTAACGCTGCCCCCTCCCCCGCCTCTTTCAGACCTGCCCAGCACCCCGAGTGAGTACGCCTTGGCCGCCGCCCAGAGTGTCCTGGGCCAGGTCCTGCAGGGCATCCAGCTGCTCCCGCACGAGTCCCAGGTGCCCGCGCTCACCCACGTCATGACAGCCTTCGTGGAAGCCTGGATGGACCACATCCTCACCCAGAAAATCAAGTTCAGGTACTGGAGCTCACGGGGTGGGGGGCTGCGGGTCAGGATTGAGGGGCACTAGCGGAGCTGGGGGGAG